CAGAGGCCGCCCGGTCACCTGCGCCGCCGCTTCCGACTGGGAGGCGACGCGCCAGGTCCTCGGGCCCAGGCCCGGCTTCCGGGCCCTGCCTGCTCCCCTGAGGCCGGTCTCCTCGCGGGGAGGGCCCAGCCAGGTATTTTTGGCTTGGGGGTATTAGGTTTTGTCAAAGGAGGAAAGTGAAAGTCCTCGGAATTAGGGAAACGCGACGGATACATTCATTGACCAATCTGGACCCTGGCGCACCTCGAGGCAGGTGAGAGTGTGGGCCGCTGGGCTGCTGGCCGTGGACCGCTTTTCCCTAGGCGTCCTCAAGGCGTCCCACCCAGAGTCCCCTCCTCGCCATGGTTGCAGCGCAGGACCTGCCTTCGTAGAGCCCCGCGATGCTGCAGCTCCTCCCCGGCTCCAGGTCATTTACAAATCCCCCAAATTCTTCAGATTGCGCCCTGCCCTTCCCCCCAATCTCTGCTACCTAAAATCCTGGCACAGCCGAAACTTCCCTGGATTAGAGAGGAGGTAGGGCCAAGTGCTGCCGGGGAGGTGCCTGGTTTAGATTTAACTGTAGTGCGTGTGGAATGCAGATTCCTCAGCTTGGACCCAGGCCCAGTGAATCAGACGCTTTGGGGTGGGGCGAGGAATGGGCATTTTAGTGAACTTTGTGTAGTGATTCAAGCACTAAGGTTTGAGAATCTGCGGTCCAGGAGTTTTAAAGTTGGGCCGCTCTAGATCCAAATCTTGGCTTTGAGATTTTTTCAAGACACTGACCAAAGCCTCAGTTTCCTTATCTCTAAAATAGGGATGATAATAATAGTCCTAAAATTGGCCAGTGAAGTGCCTCGTTTCATGCCTAGCTGAAATCTTTACGTGCCTAGCCATTGTATGTAAACTAAACCATTATTGGGGCCTCATAACACCACAAAAATTCTGGGGGGGTATTCATTTTGCAAAAGGATTCTTCAGTGTAGATGTCCATGAAATGGTCAACTGACTAATCGGTATCACTTTCTGGTCCCACCCCCAGCCGTGGATAAGGCAGACCCGGAGGCAGCCTCCCATAACAAAAAGATTTTTCTGGTCCAAAATGTCAGTAGTACCAAGATTGAGAGACACTATTTTAGGGGTCCTTTCCAACTCCAAGCTTCCTGCATACTTACTTAGGCTCCATCCCCACTCTCCTTCAAACCTTCCTCCATTTGGCAGTCCGAGTGATCTTTTACAAAACCTAGATCTGATTTCGTTTTACAATTTCCTAAAACCCTTGGCTACCCAATCCCTCTTAGAATAAAAACCAAACTCTTAGCCCAGCAAAATCTCACTCATTTACTGCTCTAGCCTCCTCCTCTTCCCCACCACTGCCTCTCCCACCCAACCCA